TCCTCCCCCTTCTTGTATATAAGCTTTTTTACTCTATTGAACTGCGCACACTCGCGCAGACATATTTTATACTCTGTGAGACCTGTGTCTATATTTATTGTATAGTATTAATATATATTTGAAGCTTCAAATAAATACCAGAAAGACAACTCTGTCTGATTCACCATTTATTTGAGTTGATCACTCTGACTTGTACTCTACAGTATTGGGGTTTTTAGATTTCCTTAACAATTGGCGTCACGAACAGGATCTCTGCAAGTTCGATTGGGAACACCTCCGGACGCTGGTGGTGGCCGGCTCCAGGATCCGCGGATCTTCCTCTACCCCGACAGAAACCGTATGGGACGAGAGGACCAGCGCCGGGGGTGGAACCGATTGACTTCACGAAATCCAACGAACTCAAAGGCTTTCAATACTCGGTGAGATGTGCAGTGTCTAAATTGTTTAAAGTTAGACGTAAGTAAACTCCATGACATGTATGAGAGGGAACTGCTCGAAGGGATATTTGAGGATATCCGATATATCGTAGCCTGGGTTTGGATCAGTGTTTGTGTGATTTGTACTGAGAAACTAATATCACATCATCAACGGATGATAAAATAGCCTGGGTTTGGATCAGTGTTTGTGTGATTTGTACTGAGAAACTAATATCACATCATCAACGGATGATAAAATAGCCTGGGTTTGGATCAGTGTTTGTGTGATTTGTACTGAGAAACTAATATCACATCATCGACGGATGAAAAAATAGTGTTTAAACACCCCTTGTTTTGTCAGGGGTGGTTTGGTAACACTTGGAGACTTTGTCATGGAAGCAAAGCAGAGGAGACAAGTACACTCTCCTGAGGGTTCAATTGTAGATGTCATGCGAGCAGAAATGGTGAAAACATTAAATATATGGACGGAAATGTTCGGATTTCCAAAGGGAGGGTTTTTGAGTAAATTCAAAATCAAGAACCTAAAGAATAAACTACAAGAACATAAAGATGGAATAATGGGTAAAAAAAAAGAAAGTAAAATACTTATATAGAAAACTGGACACTCAGTGTACTCACAGAAAGTGTTTATAAATACTGGGAGGATTAAGCAGAATGCCGTGAAAGAAGGCAGTTGGCCTTGGGGCATTAAAGAAAATATTAAGGTTGGAATGAATGTGAAGAAAAGAAGGAAAATAAATTATTTCCAAAACCATGTAAACCCCAGACATCTCTGTATCCTTCCATTGCAGGCCTGAATGACCTGTCCTCGACTGGGTATCCTTTCCCTCCCCCGGGGTACAACCCTGGCAATCCGGCTGGCCCACCTCAACCACCTCCACCGCCACTACAAGCCCCAGCCACGCAGTCCGTCAACTCCAAGCTCGCCATCCCCATCAGCCCCAAGTAGATGGGGACAACAGCGGGATAAACAAACCTAAGCCCAAGCAGGTGTTTGGGCAACACACCTCAGTGATGCCTTTCTCAACGGACTCACAGACACAGCGCAAGCTACGCAGAATGCTGGCCGGTCACAATACCGAGGGAGAGGCAGAAGAGGTTTTCCAAGGCAGAAGACGAGAAGCAAGACCTTCATTTGACGAAAGATGTTTCAAGTGTGGCAGTGTTGAACATTGGATTATGGGACTGCACACAGAACACTGGCGAGTGGAGGCAGAGGGGGACAGCAAGGACGGGGCCATTCACAATCAGACTGACCTACACCAGATGGGGAGGAAGGGACCCGATCGAGGGAGACGGAAATTCAGCCAGCAGCATCTAACCAGGGAAGTGACACACACATCATGCTATTGAAAATTGGAAAATGTAGAAGACATGCCTGTGGTTAAAGAGGGTAGGCCTACATATTTGAAATATGACAGTGAAACAGCATTTGAGAAATGTCCCACACTGACTTTGGCTGTCATGGGTGTTGATGTTCCATTTTTTGGTTGATTCTGGGGCTACACATTCTATAGTAAAAAGGGCAGATTTGCCTGATTGCAAATTTAGTGGTAGATTTATGCACTCAATAGGAGCGGCTGGGGTGACTGTAAAGGAGAAGTTTTTGTATCACTTCACAGTAGAGATAACGGTGATGATAGTCAATCCATTTCCCACATCAGTAAAAAAACAGTTTCTTTTATCCTCCGTCTGCCTAATAAATTTACTGGGCAGAGATCTGATTCTCCGGTTCGGCTTAGACCTAATTTTTCAACAAATGAGGGTTTTAAAGTCCGGCAGCCATCTCCTACGATGGTTCAAAAACTGGCATTTGATGATAAAGAACTGTGTGAATGTGTATGAAATGGCTGCTGACATATCCTGATTCTCAGGTGTTGTTGCGGTTTGACTGATCAACGTGTTTTCCACCTGCGGTGTTCATGGAAGCTTCTTTTTGCATTGTAGATAACGTTGTTGATGATCCGTGTAAAATGCTATCATGAGAGTTTTCTGTTAGAATGTGTGAATGAGGAGCTCATGCTTAAAACTATGCTTGAAGTTTGCTGCGCAGCTGGTTCATGTTGCTCACACACCCACACAACACAAACTGTGTCAAATCCCAGGGGCGGTCCACACATTTCACTAGCCAGGGGGCCCACTGATAGATAGAGGGATTTGGATACAATCGTTAAAGATTTGGAGTCAGTCACTGATTGAACACCTACACACACAGAATATGTTATGTACTATATGTCAGGTGACATGTATAAGATGAAAATGTGCACAAACGTAGCCGTTCTGCGCACATTGCTGTTGGTTGAGGATGATGAGGTAATTCTCATATCTCTGAGCTTCCTGCCGCGCTTTCAGATGTGCCATACTCACTCTGGGCAGCTCACAGATATGACGTATGTTTAATGTCCACGTTCCGTTCAAATCAAACCCCGTACCCATTGAAACGTGAAGCTGTTGATGGCATTCGGCCAGTGTTTACCTCTCTGCTTAAACAAGGGGTCATTATTCCGTGTAACGATTCCGGTACGCACTCCAGTGTTTCCTGTCAAAAAGATTAGAGACAAAACCTCCTGACGAGTGGAGATTTGTCCAGGATTTACAGTAAATGCAGCTGTGCATGCCCGCTCGTACTAAATCCTTATCTGATTCTTTCCCAAGTTCCAGCCTCTGCAACATTTTTTACTGTCCTAAGAGCTCTCAAATGCATTTTTCAATGTTCCTGTACACAAAGACAGTCAATTTTGGTTCGCATTTGAATATAATTCACACGTTTGTGTCAAGGCTACTGTATACAACCAGGCATTGGGTACAAGGTTGGCCTCTCTCCAAGTTTCTAAAGGCACCGCTCTCATACAAGGCCAGTTTGATGACCTCATGATTTGCGCACCCACAGCAGAACAGTGTGGAGCTGATACCATTTCCTTGTTAAAATACCTCGCAGCCGAAGGCCAGAACGCTAGTTTGTCTAAACTCCAATATGTACAAAGAACAGTTACATTTTTGGGTCAGGTCATTTCAAGAGAGGGGAAAACGCTTTCAGATATTCTGCTCTGCCAAAACCTGTCACTAAGCGACAGATGATGTCATACTTGCGTATGTGTTCATAACACACGGCTGTTGTTATGCTTGCTGTGATGTTACATTAGTCCGTTCTCTGCTTGTAATTATGCCGTTACAAGTTTAATATTCTGAAAGCCAATACTTTGTTTATTCAAAAACAGATGAAAACAAACTGTCTTTTATACAAAATGGAAGTATTATACAAGTAAAACTACATGTTGCTTTAATCCCATGTAATTGTAGAATGAACACAGTCTTCCTTTGTATAAGTCAGGTGTCTTGAGTAGTCAAAATTACCTACAAATCATTGTACACATTTGTAAATATGATTTTCCACTTGTTACCATTGTGAGGCTATTTGTATGCAGCGCTGCGTGATTTTATAGCTAGAATTCAGACTAATACACTCAGATCTTGTACTTGAGTAAAAGTAGAAGTACTCAGGTCTTGTACTTGAGTAAAAGTAGAAGTACTCAGATCTTGTACTTGAGTAAAAGTAGAAGTACCAGAGTGGTACAGTAAAAGTCCTGCATTCAAAATGTTCCTCAAGTAAAAGTAGAAAAGTATTCTCATCAAAATATAGTTAAAGTACACTCTTAAAAATGCTGGGTTATTTCTATAAACACATTGCTGGGTTGATTTGGCTGGGTCATAATTATGGGTTATTTGGGTACTGTAAACACACTGGTGGGTTGTTCATGCTGGGTCAAAGGGGTTATTAGGGCTTCAATTGCAGTTGAACACCCGCCTGGGTTATTTTTAACCCAGAGGTTGCTTTATTCATTTTCCCACTTCTGAATCATTCTGGAATCATCTTTTTCAAAACACAAGGTATGTAACCTATATTTATATAATTATACAATTCTGTAACCTATATTTTTTTAATGAGTTGTGATAACAGTTCAATAGGGATCTGTAGGCATTTAACAGACTGTGCAAAGTATAACATTAGCAGTTAACGTCGGCTACAAATGTTTTACATTTCTGTCAATGAGTGAAAGAGCATTGAATTTACGTTGTGATGCGATGAATTATTATTTTACAAAGACGTGTGTTCTAGTAGCTATAAATGGGTCTGAACTATAGCTTTGGATTTGTGTGCAAAAGTATTAGATGTACAATAAGGCAGTATAAATCAGATGGCTTTTACGTCACAACTCTCTTTCCCAGCATGCAGCTCGGGCGCGGGCTTTCACACACACTGACAGACAGACGACAAAGAAGCTCATTGATGTAGGTAAGTTTAGGTTAGGCTACTAGAGTTATTTATTAATTACATTAATCATTAAAGTTAGCAACTATTGAAGTTATTTTTAGGAGTGAGTGACCGGAGTCACCGAACCACATAATGTAACATTTTAGTTCCCTGCCATCGACGTGTTACCATAGGTTAGCTTAGCTTAGCATAGCACACCAACCAGCTAGGTCGTGTCAGGGGCAAATAATAATAATAATTCGTGAATGATTAAAATGTCTTCATGGAGAGATTTGGCAGACCCCCTGTAGTAACTGTACATTAGTAGCTTGGTACCTTACAATAAATGTTAAAACATTGCACAGTTTTGTGAAATTCTAATGTACTTAATCTGATTTGATTCTAGCAGAGGGTTTCACCATGGACACGTTTGTCACAGAGACGTTGACTGCATGGCAGCTTGAGAACTTGATTGACACATTTAAAGGTAAGTTAATTTTTATTGAGACAATGTTGAGATGTTACTATTAAATATTTTGTTTTATATTAAAAAGAGCAAGGTAGGGCTGCAACAAACAACTAATTTGATAATCGATTAATCTATTGATTAATGAAACGATTAATCGACTATTCGGACTATTACTGTATGCCTTGCACAATTTCTCAAACGCTCTTGTTTAGCCATCAACTTTTAGATTTAGCTTGAGGTTGTTTTAGGCATGTGGAAACTAACAATGAAGACAATAAAGATGAATACTTGATTCAAAAATACATATATTATTAAATTAACTAAACACATTTTGAACAAAATTAACATTGCTTTTAATTTAAATTAAATAAATAATATTTCACATCAAAAGAAACAACAGTGTTTTAACAAATGGTATTAAATAATGTGATGACAGAACTGTAAACAGAATAGGTGAAACTTTAACAAACTAAATAACTCAGTTTCCTCTAATAAATAAAATAGCTTTTGAAAATATGTGCATCTTAAAGTGCTTAATTTTAGATAAATAAAGTGTAGCAGCAGCTTGAGTTTCTCTTTTTCTTTGTTAACCGTTTCACATCATGACTTAACAGTTTCAGCCGATTATAGAACAGATCAGTCTTTACATCATAACAATTGAACAGTTTTAAAGTTTCTTTTTCTTTCCCTCTTATATTGTAGTCCCTCACTCACTTTTTTAAAATTCAGTGCGAGAACTGAGCTGGAGCTTGTCCTGCCAGGAGTTTGTAAATCTGGGCTGAAATGGAGTCAGGGCCATTCTCATACGTAGGTGCTCATTGGTTTCAGTGATGCAAACACAGGTATGGTGAAAAAAGAGAGAACTATTCGAAGCAGAAAAAAAACAGCGTAATATACCATCTGACAAAGGCCTGTGCTATAATGCTTCAATTAACTGCTATTCTTTATAATATACTCAGATCAATAGGAGACAGAAATGTTAAGTCATAAATGAGTGAGCCGCATATGAATTATTCTGTGAACATACACTTTCAAACAGATGAGATAAGAAATGTCAGTAAAGTAAATGTACGATGTTGCTGTCCAACACTGGCTATCACACACCTTCAACAACAACCAAGGAGTGCATGCGGTGAACAGCAGAACTCAAATGCACTTTAAAAGCGCATCACAATTCAGTGTTTAATTCATGGATTTGAATCGTCATATATTTGTAACAATGATTACTGTCTCATCTCATCATTCTTTGACAAACTTCTGTCTATTTTAACAGGCCATCCACAGACACAAAGAAAGCCCTTGCCGTGGCATTGGTGTATGAATTCCCTTGCCTTTTGGATGGTACAGGCAGTGGCTATGTAAGTTAATCAATCAACACATAAAGGAGAACACTCCATACACACACACCTAAAAGAAATGTGCTCAAACGTTTTTCCTAGTGCACAGTCACACGCACATTTTTGGATTGCTCCTTAAAATCCCATGTAACCATCTTCATGGTTTACGCCAGGCCAATTTAATCTGAATCTAATTTTCTCTTTTACAGGGAGCTTGGTACACACCTGGCCGAAATCACAAACCTGCTACAGGTTTCCTGGAGGAGCGCTTGAGGAACGTCAGGAAGCGCATGAGAATGCTGAAACGACCACGCCACCAAGAACAACAGAAGAAACAGACCGTCCCTAGTACACCAGGTAATACTAATAACCAATATTAATTATCCCCGCCAGGCTAGAATAGACAAATGCAAGGGATTATATTTTAGGTCCCATGACTCTTCTGTCCATCCATCTTTTAAAAGCTAGTCTCAGGCACCGCTGGACCGATTGGCGACTTTTCACACACTCTCCAAGTAGGCCAGAACCCCAAATGTTTGAAATCAGCTATAATGAATCTGAGGACCTCTGTACTTATCATTCAACAGAATATGATGTGCCTGCTGAAAAACTTCTAGAAATGGTTGAATGGATGAAGGTCAATAGGTATCCGGTGTCCCAAGTTGAGGACTACATGAATCAAACAGCTCTACATAGAGGCAAGTGGATTCGCAGCAATGGATCTAAAAGCCTCCCGGAAATCTTGACTGAGTTCCCTAGGCTTTTAGACAATCCTGGCATGGTAAGAAATTATTTTGCTATTGCGCTTTTGTCTATTTGAATGATACTCTATTTGTGTTAGGATTTGAGGTAAGGCAGCACCCAAATGCAGATTGAGGAAAAGCGGGTTTCAAAGTGTAACAAAAGGCGAGCTTTAATTACAAAAAGTTGTTGACAATGAAAAAACAAAACAAAACCATGAATCCATAAACAGGTAGCACAAGGTAGCATCCAGCCAAAAACGACAGTGACAAACATGGAGGGTGACAGGAAAGACAATGAACCGACAAGGAACACAGGGGAAGACAAGACTAAATTGTATTGTCAAACTGATATTTTGTACAAACTGTGAAGTCCACTGAGACAAATGTAACCTTTGTGATATTGGGCTATATAAATAAACATTCATTGATTGATTGACTAAATACAAAGAGGGGTAATCACAGGGCAAGACACAGGGAGGGAATGCAGAAACACAAAGGCAATAGGTGAACACAATCAGACACAGGAGGGAAAACACAGGAAGGAAGAAAAGACACAGGTGAGGAGGGAGGAGAAAACACAGAGGCACAAGGTGAACACAATTGGGTTATCAGGCAGGAGGGAACACAGAGACAGGAAGCAACAGACAAGACGGGGGGGGGTGAACACTTTTCAAAATAAAACAGGAAACCAAAAACAGATCTAGACAAGACAAAACACAACACAGACAGATCTTGACAATTTGACTGATACTCTGCAATGCACTACAAGTTTATGTTTAACCACTTAGACCCTACAATATACTTTGTAATCATTTAATAATTTACCTGTTGAAGTGACACTGGCTGTCAAATTGTCCCCTAACCCTTTTCCTAACAGGTACTACAAGCCCATATCATTTCTTTAAACACTGTTCTATTGTTTTTCATGTTTTTCAAAATGTATCAGATATCACAAGACTTCCAGCAGCTTCATCCAGAGGCAGTGGGAAAACTGTTTCAGAACTGGGCTACTATGAGTGACCAAATCCTTACATATGCCCAGCGAGAGGGAAAACTGCCCTTGGTGTTTGATGACATGACACCAGGTAAGCTATTTCTTACTATGTAACACACACACACCGGTTCTTTGAAAATATCAGATCTACATGCTTGCATTGCGTCCCAATGAGACTCGTTGTGAGCTTGTGGATCTGCAATTTTTTAAATATTTTAACAATCATCTGTATGGGGTCCCTTGCACAACATGTTTTCGGATGGGAGTCTGTTGACAAATACATAAATACATGAACAAGTTTGTGAACCACTTCATTAGATACCTTTTGTCTTTCTTTGATTCCTGCTCCCCCCCCTTCCTTTTCTTTCTCTTTCTGGAAACAATCAAAACGATGGAGCTTGCACAAAAACAAATTTCACCCACTGTTTTACACCTGTGAACCTGTGATGTGACAATAACGATTCAGATTCTGATAAGATGTCACAACACTTCCTGTGATTATAATAGGCTATACAATTCACGCCTTGTTTTTACCATTCAACACCAGGGCAGAAAAGTCAATATTGGTTCAGAAATATCAATCTTTATATACTATTTAAATGTTGATGTTAATATGTATTTTTCTTATATTGCGTAGACCGAGCATTGAAAGTCCTGCCGATTCTGCTTCCTCCATCGGTCTACAGGATTGGAGGAAAAGTCCACAGACCCACCATAGAGGAGTCCCGCAAGTTCTTCATTAATATTACATTACATTACATTGCATTTAGCTGACGCTTTTATCCAAAGCGACTTACAATAAGTACATTCGACCAGGAAGACACAACCTTGAAGAAAACAGAATCATATAAGTATATCAGGTTTCATAGAGCCAAACATTTCAAATGCTACTCAACTGGCTTTAGATAAGCCAGTCCTTTATTAGTATAAAAGTGCTTCGTTAATAGTTCTAACGCTCGAAGTGGAGTCGAAAGAGATGAGTTTTCAGTTTGCGCCGGAAGATGTGCAAGCTATCTGCCGTCCTGATGTCAATGGGGAGCTCATTCCACCATCTTGGAGCCAGGACAGCAAACCCACGTGTTTTCGCCGATGGGAACTTGGGTCCCCCTCGCAGCGAGGGCGCAACGAGTCGTTTAGCTGATGCTGTGTTTTGTGTAGACTCCCTTTGTTAGTTGTACCACTCTTGAAGTGAGGTTTTGTTTCGTTCTTTAGTTAGTGTTCAAGTATTTATTTTCCCCACATATAACTAGACTCCTGTGTTAGAGTCTTTCCTTTGTTTGTTTCAGAATGCCTGCCTGCCTTTTGTTTACATTGCTGTCTAAAATAAACCCCTTATAATAATTACCAATACGGTTGTGTTGCTTCCCTTTGATTCCCCTAGTTCAGAAGGGAACGTAATATACATACATACATACATATATACACATATATACAAACATATACATGCTTATACATATATATATATTTACTTTGATTAATTCACAGTGCGGTATAATGAGACAACAGGCTACAGATGCGGACACACACACATACAGTACGTCCCTGTACCGTTCGGTTCACGTGTGTACCGAACGAATATAACGTTAAACGTAAAAGAATTGAGAACGTGAACAACTTCTTGGAAGCAATCTCAGGTGCTGCGTCGCAGCATTCAGAGTAATTTTCTCACATTGGGTTCAACGCCTTATAGAGCGAGCAAGTCATTTCATTGGACGATAGATATACTATGAGAGCTGGTCAGAGGGATGCGTTCAAATTTAGTCAGTAATTTGAAGAACTAGTGAAATGGCGAACGCAGATAAAGTTGAGCTCGAAAATCCTCCAGCATCATTGAAGTCTCCGGTTTGGGAACATTTTGGTTTCGCAGTTACGTACAAGGATGACGGGCAAAGACAGGTGGACCGAACCAAAGCTGTTTGTCGGCATTGTTCAACTAACATTGGTTACGCGGCTGGCAATACATGAAACTTGCACACTCATTTGAAAAAGCATCACCCGAACGTGAATATCACCGGTACCAAAAGAAAAAAGACTGAAGTGCAAACCCAACTCCCGCTAGCATGTAAGCCTCCACCACTCGCAGAGAGTTCAGACCGAGCCAAAGCTATTACAAACGCCAAATATCCTTATGTTGCCATGTTAGCAAAGCGCTACATAGCTGTATCTGCTACCTCTGTCCCTCGCGAGAGGGTGTTCTCCACAGCAGAAGACATTGTTAGTGCCAGCAGATCTGCCCTTTCGGCAAGCAATGTGGACAAGTTCATTTTTCTTTAAAAAAATATGAAAATACAATGACAAGCAAGTCCTAATGTCAAACTGGCTGCTTAGGTACTAGTACAGTTCAAATACAGATTATTTCAGTTAATCGAAATGCTGCACCTTAATGTTTATTTTATTTTGTATTTATTTGAGTGAATACATTATTCACAGTTTAATAATAAAAAAAAATAAAAAAAATATGGTATATGATACTTTTTTCTGCTTTACAGAAAACGTACCGAACCGAACCGTGACCTAAAAACCGAAGTACGTACCGAACCGAAATGTTTGTGAACCGTTACACCCCTATTATACACACTGCTCTGCTTTCTGCACGGACCTCACAGCTGTTCTCTCTGGAAACATTGCGATGCGATGAAAGCAGTTTCTAAAATATCCAGAATTATCCAGCATGCAGAGCTGTCATTGGCTGAGATAAGTCCGGCCGTGCATCACGCCTCCACCGTTCCCGGAAATGCATCCGCGGAGGAGCCGTGGAGGACCCATCAGTGTCTCCTTGGTTAGAGCTCCTCCAGAGAGCCTCCTCGATGCTCGATCCTCATTTAGAGAAATGTGATGTCCTTCAAAATGGCACGCTGAAATTCATTTCATTTGATTGGACAGATTGGGACATTTCAGGAAGGTTCACTAGATGAAATAACTACTGTTACCAAAGACTATTCAACCCAGTCTCATGGCATTTCGTGTTCACCAACACAATTTCCCCCTTTTTTTCGTGTTGCACAGCACGATTTTAAAAGCAATGTATTTCTACTGGTAATGTGTTTCGTGCCTGCAGCACTTCTTATTCTCCGGTCGGGTCGTGGAAGTCCGTAAACTGTGTGGTTCATAAAAACATGTTCTTACTCAATATCAAGCCACAATTATTGCTTTTATTTTAAATCGTATAATTTCTGACTTTTGTTTCCGTCTGTGAGGAAAATAAATGGGGCTCAGAGCCTCAGAATACTGAAATCTGTATTTTTAAATATTTTTTTCCTTCTAATTTGTTATTCTTTTGAAAATAACACACTGTTATTTACTCACCAATAACACACAATTATCCTTGTTTTTATTTATTGGTTTAATTCCATAATCTTGGGCTTTTTTGGCGTCCGTCGGGAACTGAATTTCAAAATTAAAAAAAACGGAAACAGACGTAGGCCTCTCAGAGTTTAGGATAGCCGAAGACACTACAATACCCATAATCCCCAGCTATCGTTTCGATCTACAGTCCCCGTGATTAATCTTCAAACTCTGGGATTGGATGTTGGAGTGGCAGTGCGCCAAGGTTACGCCGAGCGTCAAACAGCTGTTTGAAATGGAACGAAACCACGCCAGACTATCCAAAACTGGAATCGAACACCCCCCCAAAACTACACATGCTGGCTGTTGTGTTTCGCAAAATGTTCTATGGGACGTCTCTACTGAACGTTTTCGTTTTTCCCACAATTAGAAGTTGCCAGTATTAAACACATTGGTGTTCTCAAATGTAAAACATATAATTAATAAATGGATGAAAATCGCTTGTGTCCATAATGCGCAGCATTAATATGTATACCCACATGACACTGACAGCTCGATGTTACTTTGTAATTCTACTCCACTACAATTCAGAGGTTAACCTGGTATTTTTACTACACTACACTTATTTGAGTTACTTTGCAGATTCTGATTAATTATGTGAAATATAAACAACCCTTAAATCAGACTTTAGTTACACCTGAGTAAAATTCCGGGAAGGTGATTGTCAAGTGCCAACAATCAGGAGAGATATTTGATAATTGTTGCTTGAGAAGACTAACCATTTATCTGCAATTGACATGAATGGAAACGAGTAATAAAGTATATTCATTACTCGTTATTCTCTACTAATAGTTAATTAAAGACTGTATATTATGGCTATTTTGCACATCCCTTTCAAGATTTTCAAAGGTGTATTGACATATCATATATCATATACACGGTGTATGCAATGAATGAAAATCTTGGGTCACAGGTTCCTCAACAGTGCATTACAAGACATCTATCAATATGTGTGTATACCTCCACCATTAAACTGTCATATTCTGCACATTTCTTATACTATCTACATACGTAAGAGTATAATTCATATGTATAATATCAGTTAAAATAAGTGCTTCAACATAGTTAACATTGCAGGAAAGCAATATATTAGACGTTAAGTACTTTGTCAGGCTTAATATTTATCTTTTGATACCTCCAAAGCTTTTTTCTTATTTAAAAGAAGACCTTAATTTAAAGTATTATTTAATGTTTAAATAAAGGTTAATTCGCTTTTCTGTTTTGCACCTCCTCCTATTAATATCTTTGTACATCCTGCACTAAACTGTTTTATTGTAGAGATCACTTATAGTATCTTGATTTTTTATATTCTATATTTCTATTACAGACCTTCTACTTTCTCCCTATGAAAGTATGTACTCTTAATATTTTGTTAATCAAATATAACACATAAAAACAATAATTCAATAACGTGCTTTAACCACTAGGCGGTGCACACAGCCATAATAACTTTGTATTATTAGTGTAGGACACTTATGTATGTACAACATCTGAAGATGTGTAGTTTTATTCATGCTTTCACATAATTTTACAGCATATTGCTATACCATTTCAGACTCAGTATTTACATTCTTATATTCAAAGAAAATCAGTAATATCTTTAAAAACTACAAGTCCTTTTATATCAGCTGTGCACCGTTATGGTGTGAATATAACCTATCTGTGAATTAGATCAAATGTAAAAGTCAGCCGAATTAGTGTTGATACTGCAAGGAGACGTATTGTGTGAAGAGAAATTGAAGATGTTGTTTAATTGTTGATATATTTATGATCCACGTCAAGTATTCAGTTTCGGCGGCATTTCTTCCAGTTTTTCCAAAGGTCTTCTCATCAGGGCTCTATAAATAAAGAACTACGGCAGATCTGTAATATGTAATGCAGCCGAACCGTGTATTACAATGCCGTTATGTGATGACTTTCAAAGAGAAAAGCAAGAACACTCGGAATTAAGTATTATTTTATTCTTTTAAAATGTTTTCCGGATTTCATATCATATAAACACCAAATCCCAGCATGCATTGCGGCTAAAACATCCAATCAGCGAGCTTAAACCATAGCTGAGGATCTTGGGTAATCGCCAGAAATGCCTACGTCTGTTTCCGGTTATTTTTATTTTGAAATTCAGTTCCTGACGGACGCCAAAAAAGTCAGAGATTAGGGAATTAAACCAATAAATAAAAGCAAGGATAATTGTGTGTTATTGGTGAGTAAATAACAGTGTTATTTTTGAAAAGAATAACAAATTAGAAGGAAATTTTTTTTTTTTAAATACAGATTTCAGTATTCTGAGGCTCTGAGCCACATTTATTTTCCTCACAGATGGCAACACAAGTCCGAAATTATACGATTTAAAATAAAAGCAATAATTGTGGCTTGCTATTGAGTAAGAACATG